AGTTTTTAGTTAGGCTCCTTTAATCCCTCTTCTTGACTAGACTCAACCTTGGTGTTGTCCTGCCTGTGGCCTGCCCAGCCCTGTCATAGCAAACAATCCTAAGTCACCCCTCAGCCTTTGATATCTGACTATCCTGGCTTGCCTTCAACAAGAATCCTGTTAGGTCAGCTTAGCAAGAATCCTCCTACCCTTGATGTCTTCTCTCAGTAATTGCCTATCTTCTGACCTTTTACCCTGAACTTTGGTTACAAATCCCCACTTGTCCTTGTTGTATTTGGAGTTGAGTTGCATCTCTCTGCCCTATTGCAAATCCCTATTGCAGTAATCTTGAAAAAAGTCATCTGTACCATTTTTACAAGTGTCAGAGTAATGATTTCTTTCATAGTGCCAAGCACAAAAAAGATCAATTACTTGCTTTTGTGGGGCTTACATTCTAACCGGTGTAGAGAGAAAACAAGCAAATTTAAAAAAGGACAAAATTATGGCATTTATGTAGATAAGGGACTTCTTTAAATTGGGTGATGAGAGGGGCCGCTCCAGGAATCTGAAGGCTGAAAAACAGAAACTCCAAGCTGAGAGGAGGAAAAGGGCACTGGAGGCAGAGGGCAGGGTGGGTACAGCCAGGAGGCTGGACCAAGCGGAGAAGGTTCTAGGAACAAGTTGGAACATAGTGGGTGAGGAGGAGGAAGGCACAAAGATGAGGCAGAAAAGGAAAGACAAGCCAAGTCACAGTGGGCTTTGTAAGCTGGGTGAAGAGTTTGGAATTTATTTCATGTAAAATTGGTAACTTGGGCTTAAAATGTTTGGATGTCATCTGTGTTTTTTCCATGGCATTGCTGTTGTTGGTAGGTCTTAGAAATTGTGAAACATCTTTGCATTCTTGTTACAGCTTGCCCTTCCTTGCGTTTATTATTATGCATAAGATTACTGAAAAGCAGGAAATTATTGTTGCTCAGGGATATCACGATATTCTTTGTTTCCTTTAATGCTGGGAGGTAACATTAAAAAAACAAAATGCTAGAAAATAACCAGTATGCAGTTTGTGCTTCATTGCTTTTAATTACTTCTTACACCATCAGCTCCTCTCTGGGACCCCTTACCCCCTGGAGGGCTTTTCATCATGTAAAAGAATAGATAAATCCGCTTAATTATTTTCTTTTTGCTTGGATAATCCTTCTTGATACCAGAAAACATTCAATGTTTTAAGTTATCCAAAGTTTCCCAACCTGATCTTTAAAGAATTTAGTTTATCAATCCATTTTCTCACGTTGTTACTGCTTTGTAATTATTGTTCTTAAAGGTTGCTTAATGAGTTCTTTTTAGAAAGATCTTAATATGTAAGTTTGTGACACTGTCATCATTTGATACTTAATATTACTTCAAGAAATTCAGAATTCTTCTGAACTCTTACTTGAAGGGCTGTACTGCAATTTACTTTCATATTATACTTTTGTGAAACTCTAATAGCCATATTCTGTCTGAGCCATAGGATGGGTATATGTTTAACTGTAAAAGAGCCTGCCAAACAGCTTTCCAGAATGGGACCATATTTCCATCAGCAATAGCTGGGAGTTCCAATGGTACCACATCATTTTTTAAGAACAAGTTATAAAGCTCTCTGGACATCATGCTTTAGGTAATTAAGGCTATTTTTGCAATGTGCCAGTGTGTTGATCCATAAAACTCTAGATGGTCCAAAATTATTTTTGTAAATCATTTTTTTTCTCTATTCTTTTAAATTATATAGTCAGAGAAACTAAGACTGAACTTATGCCTAATCTTATGTAAAGTGCTGAAAGAAAGGTAAAGGAAATGCATTCTCATGGCTTAGTAATACTGTGATGACCCCTCCCAGGTGAGAAGGGGAGAACAAAATTCCTGTTTGGTGTACTGTGATTCCCTACCTCTCCCTGGCATTTTGTCATGCATCAGAATGAGGCTGGAAGAAGTTTAGAAGTAATTATATTGAGAACTATGATAGATGCCAATCTTTAGTCATCATTGTATTTAGGGCTGGAAGTACTCTGGGAATTTGATTTAAAGTACTTGCTTTTAGAGATGAGGAAAATAACTCAGAGAAGAAAGTAAACTGATGAAGGTTATTCATCTGATTAGTTAACTAGGCCAGGGCTAGAACTCAAGCCCAGGCCCCCTCTGTTTAGGGCTAGTTTTAATTCTGCTTAAGAATATCCATTATCAGTTCTCTGAATAAGCCTGGATATTTTCCTCATCGTTCTTGTGAAAAGGTGTTTTTGTTCAGAGTTACAGGGGGTAAAAGATACGAGTAATTCAAACGAATCTCTTAAAATTAATGTAAAATAAAAAGATATTTGGAAATACAGCAATTTGGTTCAGTCTGATTTTTAAAATAGTTTCATGAAGTAATTGGGCCCAAAAGATTTTAAATTTTTTCCCCTTTTCAGACTGATGTAATATCACTCCGTTGTCACAGGGAGCATATGTAAACTACCAAAACCCTAACAGAGATCTTTGGGTGTTAAGCAGGTAAGATTAAGTCATAGAGGTCAGTTCCAGAGGAATTAAATATAGCATCCATTTGAATCAATCACCAGCACCTATGTGCTGGAAAACTGCTATTTACATTCTTTCCATGCATCTGGAAGATTTAAACAATGTTTTCATTCTGTTCAGATGAATGAGGAGTTTTCCAATGTCCACATTTGTTGGAGAGTGCTAAAAGGAATTCTTCAAAGAAGACTTAAAAAGCAATCCTTCAGGCTAGAAGTTTTCAAACAATGTTTACTTTCATATCAAGAAAGCCATTTATGGTTTCTGAATAAACAGATGCCATTTGATATTATCACACTGTTGACTGTGTGGCTAAAATATACTGTAACCACAGAATCAGGAAGTGGATTGCAACTCATTTTTTTCCCTCAAGAGTATATGGGCTATGACATAAAACCAATAAATGTCTTAATGCTCCAAATAGTTTTAAAATCTAATTTAGAGTGGTTAGAAATTAAACCATGGACCATTATCCTACATAGAATGATATCTAGTAGAATCATACCTTCCATTCAACTCTCCAGATCATTGGCCTTTTCAAAGATAAAGATCTAGCTAGGGAAACTAGTTTGCTTTATGGGAATCTCCTATAGTTTCCTGAAGGTAAAGTGCTTTTGCTCCAGAGAAGTGATGTGTTAACTTTCACTGTGGTATATGTGTTCCTCTACAATGCAAAAGCATAGGCATTTTATGTATGCTTCATGAAGTTAAATTGAATTTTAATTTTGAATGAATACTTGTAAATTAATACATTATAAGTAACTCCATCAAGGCAGTCATAAGTCTAGATCATGTTTTCTTCCATTCAAACTACACTAGGGGTCAGTAAACTTTTCCTGCAAAGGGCCAAATAGTAATATTTTTGGCTTTGCTGGCCGTATGGCCTCTGTCATAAGTACTCAACTCTTGTTATAGAACAAAAGTAGCCACAGACAATATGCAGACAAATGGGTGTGGCTGTGTTCCAACGAAACTTTACAAAAACAGGTGGTGAACCCATAGGCTGTAGTTTGCCGACTCCCAGTAGAGACACAAGATTGTGCTGTGTATGAACGCAGATTGAGGTTGGAGTACATAAACGTCAAAAATCCTTTTGGCTTTTATTTTGGTATTTTTCTGCCCATTGTCCATGGATTCAAACTGTTTCTACTTCGTATATCATTTAGGGATAATGTTGTAAGATCCTCTTCCATTTTTATTGAGGAAAGCACAGAACTTTAGAGGCAATCTGCTTCTGTCTATGCTATGTTCTTTAGAGTTTAGCATACCACCTAGGATTAATAAATGCTAAATAATAATTGTTTTTTCATTTCATCGCCATACCCTTTATGGCATCTCCTTTGGCAGCCTCGGAAGTATTAACCTGTAACTTTTACAATGTTCCATTACACATTGTCAGCAGCACCTTGCTCATGAAATCACACTCAGGAGAGAGTTAACTACAAGGCTGTAAGTATTCCTGACAGGTTGTTCTTGCACGGGCTTGGTTTCTCTTGTATGAAGATTAAAAATCTTGTCACAGCTAGTAAAAAATGAAGTACACGTAAAACCACTGAGCATACATAACTCACAAAAGACACTTCTCTAAAAGTCAGAATTCGGATGAGCAGGGTAGATTATATAAAGAAAAGCACAACTATGAAGTGATGACCAGGAATTTCATGGTCTTGGGTATAGTGATGACGTATCCTTTTGTGGGTGTTTATGTTGAGGGAGTGTCTTCTAACACATGTAAAGCCTTCATGATTAATCCAAGGATTTCATGTTTATGTTTATAGCTTCATTTAGTCGGATCCAGGCTAGCAGTCCTATTTTTTGTGTTTGTCCTAAAGAAGGGCTTTTTTTTTTTTTTTAAAGTGTATCTATTTTTTCTTTTCTACCATCCTGAGTGCAATAGTTAGAAAACTGTCTTTTTGCTGTCCTTCCAGATTCTTTGCTTAAACTGGATTTGTGCCCAAAGCAGCAGGAGATGCTGTCCCATAAAGCTGGAACATTTTATAAGTACTGGCAATGAAGGTTTATTACTTCATTCCAAAAACAGCACAGACAGCCCACTAAGGAGGTCCAGGGGAGAAGCGGAGCCACTGAACTGCACATCGGGGAGAAGTGCTGACCGCCAGGCTGGGAGTCAGGCAGGCTGCCTTGCTTTTGTGGCTTTGTGCCTCGGGTGGTGGTGAGCATAAAGGCCAGTGGGAATTTGGGTGTTGCAACTTGTGATAAAAAAGCAACTAGTTAGGAGATTCACCTCCAATCAGGTAAGACTGGGGCTAGTCAGGCAGACTCTGTGATTTGAATTTATTAACAGATAGATGATTTTGATAGTCTTAACAAATAGTAATTAGTGTGGCTCAGAAAGTCTTTTAATTTTGAGAGCCTAAAAATATATACGTAAGGCTGAGCAAACCAGATAGATCTGTGTGTTTGCCATCCAGAGTCAGCCATTATTAAGGGTTTGTCATATTTGTTTCTAGTCCTTCCATAAATGAAAGAGAGACAGCATTAAAGATCAAGTTGAAGCTTTCTATTTCTCATCCCTTGTTCCTTTTTCTTCTCTTACCCAAAGGTAACCACTGTAATTAATTCTGTGGGTGTATCAGTTGGGATCCTGGTGGGGAGAAGATGTCACACTTGAAATGAATAATTTGAAGGAGTGTTCATAAAAATGCCATTTACACAGGTGTGGGCAGAATGTAGGGAAATTGCAGTGGGTATCCAAGTGCTAATACGCCTAGGCCTAAAGAGGGGAAGGGAGAGAAGAGTTGCTGGATTCCAGAGGAGGCAATGGCACAGAGCGGGCAGCCTTTATAGGATCTGTGTCCTTTGGTTGAGGGATGCAACCTGCCTAAGACGGCGCTGCAGGGAGGGAGCTAGCAAATCGACACCCCAGTCTCATTCTCCTCTGTCCTTTAGTCTCCTAGAAGTGCCCCTATTCGCCACACCCAACCAGGAGCCAGAAGGCACCTGATGTAGTCCATACAGGTCAACCTCCTGGGCAAGGAGAAAGTTGGGAAATGGACCCAGAGTGGGCAAGTGTAAGACATCCAGCACATCCAGAATCCTGAAGTTACAGTAAATAGTATATATAGCAGGGTCAGCAAACTTTTTCTGTAAAAGGCACAATAAAACATATTTTAGGTTTTGTGAACCACAGTCTCTGTCCTATATTCCTCTTTTTCAATTTTTACAAACCTTTTAAAATGTAAAAAGCAATCTTAGCTTGTGAGCTGTGAAAAATAAGACATGGGCTCGATACACCCAAGGGATGCAGTTTGCTGACCCCCTAATATATATAATATCAGTTTTGTGTGTTTTTAAAATGTTTACATCATGTATACTATACTTTATTTCTTATATGGTATCATGGATACTATATTTCTTTTCTAATGCCATGTATCTCAAACTTTGTGGCTTATTAGAACACTCATTTGTTATTCACACAGTTCCATAGGTCAAAATTCCAGGTGGGATCATAAATGTTTACTTAGGTAGGAGCAATTGAAGTCTTTGTTAGTGTGTTACACTAACTTGGCTTTAGTGTTGAAAATCTAGTAGAGGTATTTTTATCCATGGGACTTCCCAGTAGTCCTCAGTGATGTCAACTGACCGAACCCAGCCACATAGCTGAATCTAGTCATTGTCATGAATGAAGATGTTGCAGCAATATGAGGAAGGATATCCCCTAGTCATATGAGTACCACTCACTGACACAGAACTGGTATAATATGATTCTTTCCGCAATTGACTTACAGCCAGTGATAGAAAAAACCTTTTTCTCTGAGCTGAAAATAACCAAAATAGATAACATAGAAGCAAAAAGGGGAATGTTTGCTCCTTGGTTAAGACTGCAGAGGACTTGTAAAGTGGTGAGGATTAAACAGAAAGGACATTTTAATCTCATGAAGTTCTGAGGTGGGGTGGGCTTCAGGGTAGGTTGATTCAACAGCTTGGCCATATCATCAAAGACCCAAGTTCCTGCCACCTCTTCACTCTGCCATCCTCAGTATTCCTCAGCCTTCAGCAAAATGTCTGGAGTAGTTCCAGTCATCACGTTCAGGCAGAAAAGACTTCAGACATAAGAAACTGCCTCTGTTTTACGAGAAAACAAACTTTCTCTAGAACATGCCTTCCCCCAGCAGAATTCTTTTCATATCTTGTTGGTGAAAGTTGAGTTGTATGCCGATTTCTGAACCAACTAATGGTAGAGAAAGTGATATCACCATCACACGAATAAGGTTCATTTATATAATTGGGCACAGGGCTGCTTGGGCGAAAGGGTGAACATCTGAACAAAATTAGAGATGTGCTAGAGAAAAACTAGGGCTGGAGAAATAGGGTGGGAAGAGAGAAAGCTGGGGAGGCAAAGAACAGTTCCCATTGTATCCTGACAGTTCATATCCTTTCAAATATATTAAAAGATAGCCATAGCCCACATTAAATATAATTTCTGCATAACTGTAAAAGCTGAGGTGCAGTCATGTAGGTAATGTAACTTTATGCTTCGAAGGCATTTAATTAATCATTTTTTACTTTGATTTTACAGGTTTCTTTTCATATTTTGGAGTCAATAAATCTTTCATCAGGTCTCAAACATTTAAAAGGCCCTTGCAAAGCTGGTAGACCGTGCACCCCATGCCTGTGGGAATCTATTTTCTAGCTGGAGGTAGAATAATGAGGCCAGGACTCCTGTCATTTGTAGGTGAAATATCATCTATCCATGATACGATTTCAAGTTCACAGAGAAGGGCCATTTCCTTGCCCACAGGACCAAACTTTTTTATCACAAAATTCATGATAAAGCTCAAAATGCAAAATGTTTGCAATAATACTTCAAGTTTCATTAAAACCATATTGGCAGGTTTTAAAGGTGGGATGAGAGCAATAGATACCACAGATGAAAGCAAAAGGAGCCTGGGACGCTAAGAACCAAATTCTCTCTAACGGCCTGTCTTACACCACATACATTGTATTCATCAATTCCACAAACATATATTGAGTACTGCTATGTGGCAACATACTTGAAGGGCATAGTGAAGGATTTTTTTAAAGAAAACAGGTACTCAAAAGTTTTATGCCTAAGTAGGCTGCCATTTTAGAAGGCAAGTATGAGAGTGGAGGATATATAGGTATGAATTTATAGTAATGGATTTAAAATATCAGGATATTACTTAGATAATTTAATGCCCAAGTCAAATTAATTTTTTTAATAGATCTGGGGATCTTGCTATGTTGTTCAGACTGGTCCTGAACTCTTGGTCTCAAGGGAAACTGCCACCTCAGCCTCTCAAAGTGCTGGGATTATAGGTGTGAGACATGTGCCCAGCCTAAATCCAAGCTTTTTGATATTCATTTCTGTTTAGTAAATAGGTCTTGTTTTTGGCTTGTAACAACTTCTACTTTGTACAATTGGTACTTTTACACCTATCTATGTCTCCCACACTAATACAGTAACTCTTGGAGGACAAGGAATATGCTTTTCTTTTCTTATCTTTTTTACTTTTTTGAGACAGCATTTTATTCTGTCACCCGAGCTGAAATGCAGTGGTGCAATCACAGCTCACTGCAGCCTCAACTTCCTGGGCTCAAGTGATTCTCCCACCTTAGTCTCCCATGTAACTAAGACTACAGGCATGCACCACCACACCTGGCTAGTTTTTTGTATTTTTTGAAGAGACGTGGTTTTTGCCATATTGCCCAGGCTGGGCTTGAACTCCAGGGCTCAAGCAATCCATCTGCCTCAGCCTCCCAAAATGCTGGGTTTACAAGGCGTGAGCCACTGTGTCCGGCCCGGGCTACGCTTTTCATATTTTTCATCTCCATAATGCCTAGCATAGTACCCTGCACAGATATATCATTAAGCCTGTGTTAAGTGCACATACACTAACATGAAACCAGGCTCTCAAAACAAACCAAAACAAAACAACCAAAAGCAAACCTAACACTTTTTATTGCTCCCTCTGTACAGATTTCTTAGGAAACTGAATTGACATTAAAGAGCACTTGGCTTTATTTTTAACTCTCTAGATGTTATCGTTTGAACACGTAGGTTTTTCTCTCCCAGAGCAGAGCTTTTGAGATCCATAAGGTGAAATTCGTTGTTGAGTGTAAAGCACAACAACATGTCATGGAGCAAGAAGTTTAAGTGGAAGAGCATCTTCACTTCAATCTCTGCATGCTCCAGATCGTCCCTCCCTCTTCTTTTCTCCAGCTTTGTATGTAAAAATTGTTACGGCAGTTTGCTACACTGAGCTAGAATCAATTTAAAGCAGATTTTACATATTTATTTAAAAATGGCCTGTAATGTATTTTAGAGTCAGTATTGATTCCACTTGTCTTTGTGATTGCATCTGTGACGGGTGTTTTTGTTATGTTGCAATTGTGCGGTAAAGTAATAGGCTCTGAGATTCTATCAGTGCCTACTCTTTTTATGTTGCAATTGCTTGATAATAATTCGGTTGTATCTCTGCCTGATGTTTTAATACTCGCATCTTCCAGATTGCTCTTGCTGGGGAGGTGTTTACTCCAATAGGTTGTTAAACCCTAATAAGAATAAACAAAGCAGGAAGACGTGGTTGCACACAATTCGTTGTGTTTGTCTGGGCTGACACTGTGGCTTAGGCTGACTTTTACCACATGCTCTAGTTATCTACTGCTGCATAAACACCCCCAAAAGTTTTATTCCACTGGGAATAAAACAACAGCCATTTTATTATATTCATGGATATTATGGGTCAGGGGTTTACTCAGGGCAGGGAAAGGATTGCTTGTCTCTGCTTTATGAGATTGGGACCTCCGTTAGGACGACTCAAAGAATAGGGGTGTGTGGGCGATGGTAATAGCTGAGAGCTAGAATGATCTAGATGCTTCTTCAATCATGTGTCTGGTTTGTGGGCTGGCATGACCTAAAAAATTAGCCTCCACTGGAACTCTGTCGACTGAAGTGCCTGGCATGTGGCCTCCTTCTGTGGCTTGGGCTTCCTCACAGCAAGGTGGACTTAGGATAGTCGCAGTTCTTACATTTGGGCTTCAAGAGTGAGTCTTCCAATGAACGAGGTGAAAGCTGCAGGACTCTTTCTGACCCAGTCTCAGAAATCATTCAACATCACTTTCGTTGCATTCTCTTCGTTGCAAGTGAGTCACTAAGGTCGACCCAAATTCAACGAGAGGGGAATTAGACCCTGCCTCTCAATAGGAATATCAAAGAAATTTGTTGCCATCTTAAATGTTTTCTATTAAATTAAAAGATTGATTGGTTAAGAGGCACATTCATTGGGTACCTATTAAAATATCGAAGGCACAGTAAGAAGGTAAAAGAAAAAAACTTTTTTTTACAAAGGATTCTGCAATTTAATCATAAATATGGTATGCAAATATATTTAAAAACTGAGTAACATATTTACAAAGTAAAGTATCAAAGAGTGCAAATCATTATGCTCTAGAACTTTGCTGTAATAGTTGTAGAATTTTTATAATATGCAAATATTTTGGATCTTGTCCAAGAGAATATATCTAATATAACTACTAACAGTAGCACATGTTACCCAAGCAATTTTTGCAAAGCTAGAGTCTGTGAAAGGAGGAATCAGATGAACATAGAATGTTAGGGGTGGAAGGAACTTTAGAGATAATTTATTCCAACTCTTTCAATATGTAGATGAGGAAACGAAGGCCCAAAATGTAACATCACAGATAGTCCAGGAAGGGAGAAAGAATATGAGCTTATTTTTCTGGGTACCCTTAAGCATGGAAAACATAACTTCTTTGAGTCTCATTTAAGAATTAAATTCTATCAGTCTGATTCTGTTAGCTTAGGCTGTTATGCTTAAGTACCAAATTACCCCCAAATCTCAGTGGTTTACAACGAACGTTTATTTCTTGCTTATGCTATAGATCTGTGGTGGGTCAGCTACGTCTGTCTTTGATGATATCTTTACTCTAGGACCAGGCTGACTGAGCAGCTCCTATCTGGGACATTGCTGGCTGATGCCTGGGTAAAGAGATTATCGTGAAGCAAATACTGGCTCTTAAGGCTTCAGCTTGAAGTCATGGGCTAATCCTGACTGACATTAAAGGAGTGGAAAGTAGGATCTCCTCTGGAGGAATGGGTTCCCTGCAGGGAGGGGCAGCAAGTATTTTGAACAAGAGTACAATCCAACATGGTAATGGATATAATAGCACTTACTGAACAGTAGAACTCCATGTGAATGCAAGTTGTTCTTCATCTGCCCAAAGTCTACCAGCCAATCAGTGTTGAACCTGAGACTACAACTCCAGGTGGCTCTGAACCCAACCCAGTGTCCTCTCCTTCTCTGGAGTGATTCACTGACATTTTTCCTTCCACTTTTTACTGCTCAACAAAACATTAATTTTAGAATTACCAATCAACATATTCCCTTTGCCAGATATAGGAACAATTTTTCTAAGAATAAACATCTCTTGCTGTCTCTCTCCTCCCTTCTACTCTCTCTATATATTTGATAAGAATTGTTTTAAAGAGTCATTGCAGCTTTCAGTTTGATTGATAATTTTATACTACATGCTAGAAAGCCTTGTCACATGTGTCGTAAATCAGCCATTTCAACCTTAGGTGTTTTATTTGTGGAGAGGAGACTTCCATCACGAACATTTTTTTTTCTGACAGAATATGTCCTTAAAAATATTTAAATTCCATTACTAGCTTTATTGCTCTCCCATAATTTCCCTATTCGCCTCTGAATTATGCTTAGGAAGGCAAGATGGATAATATAAGCTTTCCAATGTTTTATGAAAGATTTAGATGCAGACTCTTTGTAAACCACTACTCCCAAGCTCTTCTCTTTCCACTAACACAGGCATTAGAACCCAGGAAACTCACTTGCTGTAGAAGCTGATCTGCAGAATCAATTGGATTGCTTGCCAGACTAAAAGAGCTATGATGTTTTGATCCCCACAGCGTTTTTTTTTTTGGTAGCCTTTTATGTAGCAGCACAAGCTGCTTCCAGACTTAGTATACTTTTTCCAGTGGGGTTTTGATGCAAGCCTCCACCATGCTCTTGTTTTAGTTTTTGCAGAATTGGAGGAGTAGAGTTGATATGCTCTTTCAGGGGCATGGAAAATTGAGTTCTGTCTTTTAGCTATGGATTGTTGAATAGGTTGCAATACAGTTCTTATACCACCAGCCCAATGATGACCTTCGTGCTGTAATTTTTGGGTATATTTTACAAAGCAAACATAAATCCAATGAACCTTAATCATGGCCAAAAGCCAAACTGAAAAAAAAAAAAAACCTTTAAAGTGTAGATTAAAAAAACGATTGTAGCATTTATTTCATACAGGTCAATGAATTATAACAGTGAGGAGTATTAATTTCAAATACCCCAACCCCCAACTTCCTGCCTCCAAGGGGAAGTCCTGTGTAATTTGCCATTATTTTTACAAGGTGAAAAAGCAATGATTAAAGTAACAGGATATTTCCTGGTTGAAAAATAGTAATAGAGTCTCTATTGAGCCATTCTATCATTAGCTTTTATCTCAGTTCAAACTTCAAAATATTTTCCCACACACTTATTTATTTGACATGTGGGAATAAATTTGAAGTGATAGCCTAAGCTTTTACAGTAAGTAAAATCCTTTGCAGTTGACATACAGTACCA